GGTAACCTTATCAGTACCGGTATAGACGTTTGACGTAACAAGATTGTCGGTTGAATTGGTCATATGTGTAGAAGCGCCGGAGTCTAGATACCAGTCAGTGGAGTTGTTGGTATCGGTATTGGCAAGAAGCTCTTGACTGTTTTTGTTGGAAGGTTGCGACGGGATGTAATTAGGATTAAGACGGTGCCAGCAAGCTTCTGCCGAGTGACCCTTCTTTTTGCAAATTTGACATATGACGCCGGAGGAAGGTGCAGGGTGCGTTGTCTGAATCTTTTCTTGAGAGGGCCGAGATCGACCGCGACGACCGCGATAATTTGAGGCATAGAGAGCGGTTTGGGTGTCGATGTTGGTAGGAAATTTGAGAGCAGCCGCCTGAAGATGGATTTCTTCGCTAATGAGGAGGGCGTAAAGGTTGTCGAGAGTGAGTGAAGTTTGCATCGTGCGGATGGATGCGGCAAAGGGCTGATATGATGGTGGGAGACCGTTCAAGATGTATATCATAATATCTTCGGAGTCTACCGTGGATCCCGCGGAAGCAATCAGGTCGACGATCTTCTTGATCTCAGTTAGATATTGAGACATTCAGAGGTTCTTCATGGAGACATTGTGAAGCTCATTCTTGAGCTGAATGACTTTAGACCTGTTAGAAGACTGAAAACGAGTTTGCAAGGTGCTCCAGATTTCGTGCGTCGAGTTTAGTTGAATGACGTAGGGGAGAACCGCCGGCGAGATCGTCGAGCACAGGGCGGCAGCCAATTTTTGGTCAATGACTGACCATTGGTGCGATTCTTGAGTTGAATCGGTGTTGTCATTTGCCGGTGTAGCAGTAGCCGTGACGGTCGTTGGCTTCGGATCGAGAAAGAGAGCGAAGCCGTTAGCCTTAAGAATCTTGATGATCTGGTTGCTCCATATAGGGTAGTTATCCGGCGTAAGTGGATTTGGAACAAGAAATTTGAGATTTGATATCACAAATTTGAGGGAGGGAGAAACAGATTGAGCGTGAGGAAGAACACCGGAAGTGGCTTCAGTGTTGAAAGAAGACGAAGCAGTGTTCGCCATGAATGAGGATCGAAAGGATCAAACCTTAATTTGATACCATGATGAAAAACAAGAAACGAACAGAGGAGAAGAAAAGAAAGACGATGACATAAAGGAAGAACTTGAATTAATTTCTCTGTCTTCTTACAGATACATCATAGGTCTTATATAGAAGATTCCTGTACATAATGTACACGTGTACAAATATTACTGGATAATGAAATAAACGTAAATAAGTATAAGTCTATTCTAACATGAAGAACTTTGGACTTAACACAACATACCATCCCTCTAATTGGATCATTTTATCTCATTTACACATTTGTTTTAATTTAGAGTTGTAGAGCACTTACTTGGATTACCTTTCAATATCAAGAGGATTTTTGGGATTCTCAAGGCACATGATAAGCTTCTAACATAACAATTTTAGCATATACTTTATTTAACTATTATGAAATAATGATTTGTTTAAAAATTAAATTATATGATCATAGTTTTCAATGTCAACTGCATCCAAGGAAGATCCCAACAATACTGACCACATATTCAATTTGTCTATTTGTGATACAAAAGTTTATCTTGATAGCAGAGTTAAATGTCAATCCTCCTTAAATTTTGAGAAAAACAAACACTATGTTACAATGCATATTATACAATGCCTAATAAGGATCTTCATCAACTTGAATCCACCATGATAGGAACTTTAATTCAAGATAATTTTACAATCAAATTTACTAAGATTTTAGCTTTTATTTATGGTCAAGTAATGAACTTTATATAATGTTCATTAAGTTCAATGAGCACTTCAACAGCCTATCATATAAATATAGACTATAAAACTTAGATAAATGGTCTGATAATGTTATTCTTTATATGATACACCTATAAATAAGAATAGTGCCTTAAGGAATAAGTGAGAAGAGTTACTATTAATTTATTGAGACAAGGTTATCTCTACTAGATATCATGAAGAGACTTGCCAACATAATTTACTAGAAGTTACTTCTTGTTTTCTGTAATGAGCATATTGTTGAGCCATGGACCCCTATGTATAATAACAAAGGTTTTTCATGAATTATACTACCAAAGACAAATAGAAGTTACTTCTTGTTTTCTGTAATTGAGAGTTGGATACATTATTTACTGAAAGGACTGTGTTAACCGCATGATCATAAATTCACGTGCACATAAATTAGAGATAAAATTTGTAGATTAAATCCTACATAGTTTGATGATCACAAAGATTGGTTAGAATATAGTATAACCAAGGATGTAGCTTATTGTTTGTTTTATTATCTGTATAGAGCTCGGATTGGAGAACAAGCTAGTGGTGATATTTTGACACAAAGATTTTTAGAAATAAAAAAAATGATAGATTTTAGAATTATGTTGGTAATATGAACAGAGCACATAACATCACTAGACGTGTCACGACCCGACCCGTGATAGATGTAAAAATTCTGTTTATTATGCCGTTGTGTGCCTGCCGAATTTTTGAAAATAATTTCTTGTTTTGCCGGGGGGAAATTTCTAATTGATATGCTATCTTATATGCTTATTATAAAGGAGTTATAAGGGGCCTGGACTCGCTATGAGAATTCAGTTATAGTGTCTGGGAATTCTGACAATGAGCCATATGAAATCTTTTTGATATCGTTCTGTTCCGGATCCGAATGGAAACCAATCTAGTTTAGGTGCTATATTGCACTATATATGTATTCTAGGTGCTATATAAGCACATCTGATCTGATCTGTTTTGATGCCCGTGAGCACAAAGGAGGCATAAGTGGCCTGGATCCATATGAGATTCAGTCTGTGTCAGGGGAATTATAACTAATTTAATAAATATCTGATATCTGCATATATGAATTCTGATATGATTTGTATCTGTCCGATATGATCTGTAACGATTTCTGATTCTGTTGATCTTGACTACATGCAAGGTCTCGATCTGTTATGTTTCTGATTTGATGAACAACTTCCCATTCCCCGCTCACAGTTTTTTGTTTGATTTGATATCTGTCCGAATCTGTCGATTCTGTACGGTCTTGTCTGCTGTTTTGGTTTTGATGATTCTGAGGATTTTGATTGGAGGTTTGTTGCTTTACGAGCTGTTGAGCATCACCCTTGCTTTTACTGGTGGGTTTCAGCCTGTGGGGAAAGGCAAGGAAGTCACAGGATTAGTTCAGAGCTGATTCAGATATAAGGTAACGTTGTACTTTTATGGTTTTTGACAGTCATTGGCTTGCCTGTTCGTGTCTTTGCGTGTCGGTGGTTCGAAAGCCATGTTACTGTCTGTAGAAAGCGTGATGATGTTTTTATTTTTTTTTTGGTTGAAGGAATAAAACGAGGAAAGGAGAGGATAGGATAAGGTATAAACAAATGAAATCGCTGATAGGATTGTTATGTTCCGCTTGCATTTGATGATACATAGTAGCTCTTGTTTGTTAGCTCTGTGTGAATTAATTATTTGGGAAGATTCAGTAATAGTTCCGAAACCAAATATCCAAAAGCTTAGATCCTGCGTATAGTGCAGCTCCGTCGCGATCCAGCACGGCGGAGATCCGTCTCGTCTCGGTCGGGTCGTGACAAGGCTTTTATGGTATTATCAAGAGCAATGCGGTTTTGGCACATTTTGAGGAATTTGTGAAAACAGAGCTATAGGCAATGAGTGATCAGTAGGTTCTTGTCTGGGGGGTAATTTTGATTTGTTTTGGCTTTTATTTTTGTTGTTTTGTGTGATAATTTTTCCGAAATTTCTGGGGATTTTTCTGTAATGGATCAGCCAGGACCCAAACATGACAGATGAGGTCAGATCTATAAGTGAGCCCCATCACGCAAGCAGCAACCAGTGGGGAGTACAGCCCCAGTGAATGGTCGTGGTTTGCTGATACGCTTTCTCAGTTCTTGCTTCGCTGGTTGCTCAGATGAAGAATGAGCGATGACTCAGAGTAGAGTGATCTACTGTCAGATCTGATGACCTGGAAGACATATGCCAGTTCGTTTTTAGGGTTGAAACCTCCGAGGTTCCGACGGGCCGCTGTTGAGGACCCAGGCTGGCTGCGAGAAAGGAGGTGGCTGAGAGAGAGTGGAAGAAAGGCACCTTCTTGACGATAGATTATGTTTTTGATTTGCCATTTTGTCTGTATCTGATTGTATGCACTGTCTTTTTGATACTGTCAAATGCCCTATCCATATCGATTTTTTTATTTTGTTTCTAGTAATTATGTTACCATAAACAATGGATGCACAGTAGCAAATAATGTATTTGTTTGCCGCACAGTTCAATTTTGTTTCACCCCTCACAGGAAGAAGGGTTACCGGTCTGCTCTCGTCTAAAGCATTCAGCGTTTTTCGCTGTGTTAACGGAGAACTTGGCCCAACTAGGTCACTTGCTGAGACGTCCTAAGCAGTGCAGCCAGATCTTACCGAGTGGCCAGAACTGACTCTATCTGATTACTATTTTCGGGGAAGAGTTTCACTGATAGTATTCCGAGATTGGTGTGTTTTCTCCACCCTTCTGCACCGACAGCAAGATTGAGGAGAACTTGCTAGAGGGGCATTGTTCAGGTAGAGCAAGACTGGACATGCAGTACGAGGCTGAGTTTGACTGCATAGCCAGTACGACTCCGCAGCTGGTTCACACTTTCTGCTGAGATCGATTTTTTAAGATTTCTGAGGGGGATTGCGAGCCGGATACTTGAGGCAGTCCCCTGATTACCATTCAGATTACTGATTTCTCCGAAGTGTGGAGCGAGCTCGATGATAGAGAACGACTTGAGGCTACTCGCCAAGAGCAGCGGTGATGCGAGTAGAAAAGAGGTTTTGGAGGCGAGGCATCTGCAGGTGGTTCCTCCGGAAAGAGGAGATTTTTTCCGGGGTCTGTGATTCTGGAGAGATCCCAGAAGAAAGCGGAGGACTCGTCTGGTACTGTTACCAGTACGACGGTTTGGATCAGTCAGTTCGCAACCTGTGTTGCCAGAACTGTGGCGGCGACCACTCCTCGAGCCACATTGTATAGGATGGCTGGTCTGTGCTTGCCGATGTGGTTCAGTCAGGAATCGGATTGCAGGAGTGTCAACGCAGATGGGATTGTGATCAGCGAATCTAGAGGGCTTTGTCAGACCTGCCGCGTATACAGCAGGCCAAGACCGGAGGACTGTTCGCTTCCGCCCTGAGGGTATTTGCTGGAAGAGGGGGTGGTTCTGAGTTCTGCACCACGGAAGACCACCTACTGTTCAGAGGAGCAGGAGTAGTTCCAGTTGCTTCAGCTCCTGTTCCAGTTCAGCACGAGTTTACAGCTTGAGTCAAGCAGGAGGCTCGAGATGCTCCCTGATGTGTGATAGTACGATACATTTCTGAATCAAGGACCTGTCGTATTTTGTTTGACTCTGACGCGAGTCATTCTTTTCGTCCGAGCACTGTTTTGAGGGCTTTACGTTTGGATTCTTTTTACTTCCGGTTTCTTTGTCTGTGATTTTACCAGGCTGGAATCCTTTGAGTTGCCTCGCAATTTTGTTGTTGAGATCGTCAAGATTGCTGGCAAGAAGTGGAAACAAGTTTGATTCGTGTTGCGATTTCATCGTATGATGTAATTCGGGGCAGTAGATTGGGTTGAGTCAGTATGAAGCCAGATAGACTTCTGAAGATAGCAAGTTGAGTTTGCTTATGGCGGAAAGAGAGTTGTATTTCAGGGATTACGAGGTGTTCTCTCCAGTCTTGATTTCGTATTGAGAAGTGAACCAGGGATGTGAAGAAGGAATGCCCAGTGTTTTGGCTTCGGTGCAGGATTTGAACCTAGAGGTTGGTTCTGTTTCTGAATCCCTGTGGATACGGAGTTTGCTGATATTTTTCACTGAGGAGCTGTGTTGGTTTACCTCCGCATAGAGACTGTGGATGTTCTCTGATCATATTTTCCGGTACCGCTCCGGAATCGAAGCTCCGTACAGGGGATAGGCACCGAAAGAACTTTCTTGAGTTGAAAGTTCGAGCTTCAGGAGTTGGTTGCACTTTCAGAGGTT